TCTGGAAGAGACCCGAACTGTTGGCTTCATTCATCTCTTGGGACGAGATGCCGTCAGTACTTTCAGGAAAAAATCAAAGACGCCGCATAATAGGGAAATACGCGCTTACCACGTTTAACTGTCGAGAGTCAGGCCCAGCGATCATGAACAAGATGTTTTTGCACATGTCTTGAATAACGTATTGACGGCAGAAGAAAGCAGCCATAAGTTCCAGAAACTTGTCTTGTGGTAAGAACTCCTTTTCGCCAAACAGTGACGTCATAAGCTGCAAAACTTGTCATGGAGAGGCTTACTGTTTCAGGAACCTGCAAATCCTACCTGTACGGTGGATGTCAGTTTCGCAAGGTAACTAAAAAACCCTTTGATGTGGCCTAGTTTGCTGACTGGTCCAAGGGCAAACACGTGTTTAATCTGGAAAGCTTTTCGATAGAAAGAGGCTTAGCTGTCTGTCTTACCTTCTTCGCGAATTTTTTGTCCGTGCTCAGCTTGGCAAACATAGTCAGCGTTCCTTCAGAGTGGCCCATGTAGTACAAGTGGTTTGCACCGCTGACGTTCAGCGCCATTTTCACCATCGCCGGCAGATCATATTCAGCCATCTGGTCCCATCTGCAACCTCGATCAATACGCCGTATCGACTGTGGTATTTTTGTCTTACGAAAACTGCCAAAACTCTTGGCTGTTTGGACTCAGACGGAGGTGCTGCTTTCCGTACGTGTTGCCTCGAAAATTACCTAACCATACGTCAAATCCCGCATCGGCAAATATGAAGGCTAAAACAGAAACTAATGTTGTGGCAAAATTCAGCCAAGAAAACATATTTCACTTGGAAGACAGACAGCCTAATTACTTACTATCAAAATTGACATGGTTAGAGATGATGGATTCGAATCTTCAGTGTCAGTTCACAGTCACAGCATATTTTTTATGTGTGGAAAGCTGAACAAGCATAGGATTATCGTCTCCTTAATATCTGACCGTTTCAGACATTGATTCGTTGAACATCTTTAGCCGTGGGGCCGGGGATCGTGCTGCAGAGGGAACAAACTGGACAGTTAGAGAATTTATGTATTACTGACGTGCAAGAAATGCTAAAAATGAAGCTGAAAGAGAAACAGGCCTAATTTTTTAAACTTAGGTTTGTACGCCTTAGGATGCAAGAGAGGATATATGTGATGTTTAATCGTCAGGTTATATCTGCTAAGCGAAACACAGCAAGCACCCTTGATCATATCACTGTTTGACTTTGTGATGAAGGATTTTGAATTCTGCGTTCTCAATTTTTCGCGTCGATAAAGTTTGCTAAACTGTGGAGTAGCTGAACCGATACCGAGTCAAATTCGAAGGCTCATGAGTTCATACCTAAGCACGGTCACTCATCTTGTATTCCTTGGAAGCATATTATCACCTGTAACTGATGAGAGAAATCTACCAGGATTCTAAATCTCCGTAATTAGAAAATGCCATATTTTTCTGGAGAACGCTTCGGACATGGCTGATTTACTAATAGTGAAAAGATGAATGGGATCCATAGCGATAATGTAACTATCTTCGTTGAATCATCTCCAAACGACGGCACCTAAAATAAGTGCAAAATGGAAGATCTGTTCTCTCTTCAAGTGCTTTCGGTAGCCTGTTAAATAATTCGGGTGAGGAAGGAGTAGACCTCTCCACAAAAATGCAACTGCGCCATACCTTGATCAGCTGCATGTTGTTGGATAACATGGAAGCAACTGTTTTGACCAGGGACTCAAATCGGGGGTTAAACTGAGTTAAACAGATTTTGTATAATCTTCATCTTCCATGATTTAGTGTCATGAAATTTAAATGGCAGGACAACTTAGGGAACGACCCTGTTCTTTTTCTGACACGAGTGTCCCCGTAAATGAGCAGATTAAAAAATCGAGTGTTACCTGTCGAAAATGCTTTGCTCTTCGACAGCAGTGCTTCATGTGTCAGGAATTGTTTTTGGTTTCTGAATAACGTTACAATGACGGTGAGCACTAACAGTTTTTAAAAATATATTCATGACGAAAATATTTGGAAGCGAAGTTTGAGGAGTATCGCCTCCCGTGACAGTTCGCCTTCACAACAGATGGAGGGTGGGTAAATGAGATATTCACATTTTGGCAGGTAACTGAAAATAAAAGGGAATGCTAATCTAAGTTCATCCTAATTTTCGTTGCTTTCATCATAACCTTGGACTCTATTCATATAGATGCCTTTGGAAACTGTCGAACACTTCGGAGCGCTCAAATTTCAGAACCAGAAGCAATTATCAATTGATATTGATCAGAGTGCATTAGAAAAATGTCTAATTGCCCAGTTCCGATTTCATGCAACACGTGATTCCATCTCCAGACAGTGGTCTTTTGGTCTGACGTCTCTTGCAGGTCAGCTTTCATCATTGGTGGTGTCAGAATGGAGACTATTGGCAGTTTTTCCTTTGCATACTTACGCGCAGATTCGTGTGGAAGATTGCTTATCCAGTCAACACAGCTGCTCAGGAGGCCATGCTGTATGAACACGACGGGTTTTGTCGAAAGGAGCTTTGCGGCGTTGAGACTGCGCCCATGGGGAATACGGTACATCTTCAGAATATAGCCGTCTTTGGTGACCGCCTGATGCTCTTCCACGGGGTACTTCCAGTACTGTATGATTTGAGGCTGAAAAAATGGACCTTAAGTTTTTAAGCGCTTGAGCATGTTATTTCTTACAGTATTCATTTGCTCTTCTGGATCTTTCACCAGTATCTGCTGACTCTGAGCGCAGGTGAAAAGAAGAACGGTGAAGAATAGCATGTGGAGCATCGTTGGAAGAACGCCGAAGGACCAGTCGCGAAACAACAGAACGGCTGTTACTGGATCTGACCTCTGCAACGAATCAGCCTACAGGCCTGGACTATCTGCTGAAATAATAAGTTTCGATGAAAGTGTCTCTCGAAAGTCCAACTTTACAGACGCCGTTTCAACACAGCATAAATTTATTAAAACCCGGAGTCAAGTTAACGTCCAGCGTTCTACATCCGCTGATCGATGACTTTTGAACATGGCCGCGAAGTCGAACCTCACTGAAAGGCCAACTCAAATAGCGACTGACTGACGAAGCCCATCTGACCCTATTTCTGATCAGAGATCGGATAATGAGAGCAGGTTAGAGGGAAATATGCCAGATCACGTGCTGTGGTTGAAAGGTGGAGCAAATAATAATATG